AGGCTATACACCTTATGGATAATATATGGTAGCCTTGCCCCAATTAGCAGACATTTCAGGGGAGGTAATTATGTAACCCTGGAATTACAGACCCTAGGAAGTCTTTTCACAGATAAGCAAAACTGGCCTGGAAAGGATCCCCATCTCATCCCTATGGGTAATCCTGCACATCCCTTCCAGCCAGGAGATTCTGTTTAAATCAAAGATTTAAAAAGCTACCTCTCCAGCCTGTCTAGATGGGACCTTATATTATTGTATTTGACACTCCCACTGCTATCAAAGTTACAAGTATTACTCCATGGATTCACCATACCAGGATCGAAAAGGCCTACCCTCAAGATCCTCCATCCTGGATTGCATATCCTGACCCTCCTCCCAGAACCCACCCAAGACTCAACTACAAGGCAGACTGCCCCAGGTCAGACTCAGTCTGACTCCAAGCTTCACAGATGATCTGGTCACACTAGAAGCTGACACACAGCAGAAGTTTGAATACATGGGAGAATAATAATAATCCAGTCTCTTGTGTACAGTGAGGAAAGAATTGCCAAGCATACACTCCATAGTAGGTACCTGAATTTATCAAAGATCACGAGAAAGGTAGTAGCAGGAACAGGGGAAAGGGAAAAAGCCAAGAAGGGCCATAATAGTTCAGGTTTTTAGAATTTAAAGTTCAGACACCTCTGACTTTTTGGTGCCTCCTACTGAATTTTTCACTGGGGCCAGTGCTCTGTCACCTGGGACATGGTGATCTCTTAGGCTTTTGTTATTTTGTACCTCTTTTGAGAAAATGGAAACATGAGTTACCATTAAGATGTTTTTTACAGTTAAATGTAAGAAGGGAATGACTCATTCAGCTTGTTTGTTTCTAATGATTCTGTTCCACCTCCCCAGAGCCCTGATCCCCAAAAATCTTTGAAGGGAGTAAGCTGAGCCCTTCTTCTGAAGATTCACTGATTATCTGTGAACATGGAAGCTGACTCTGATCTTGAGTTATGATGCAACAGTAAACAGAAACACTGAAAACATCACCCAGAATTTGGAGGCAGATTTATTTATGTAGACGGGCACTGATTGGAATCATTCCGAAAATATTGCCTGATCTCTGGTGGTCTAGGGCTCATATGGGATAAGCAATCAGGAAATACAGAGGCAGAATGGCTTGTCATTTGGGGATTGGTTCTTACACTATGCATAATAGTGACCAGCTATGTATCACAGTGACCAGCTGTTTCTAAGAAACAGAAGTAACAGGAAGTGTTGCCTGGGCAACTAACAGAGGCTGAAGTATACTGGCTGGGGGAGGCCATTTCCTCCTACAATGGCCATCACCAGTAGTTTGATAGCTATCAAACAAGGAGAAACAAATTTGAGTAAGATATTAAGTATGTAAGAGCTAAACAGTAATGGTACAAAAAACATTAATGAGGATCACGTCCAGAACAGTAAGTAAGACCTTCAATTTCAGATACAGTATTTGATCAGGACATCCATGACTAAAATAGTTTATTATGGATCTTGGAAGCATGGTCAGCCAATTTTTTTGCCATGTCTGTTACTACTTTAGACCTATTGACAAAGGAAGTACACTCCTCATTTAGGGATAAACACAGCCCCTTTGTTTCAGCTCCTAGGAGTTCTAGTTCCCATCACTGATGCCAGTGAATCTGTCTGGTCTTGAAGAAAGGCAATGCTCTAGAGAAGTCTGTCTAGGCTGTCTGTCAAGTTCTTAGGTGGCTGCTGATGATAGTTTTATCACATAGGTAGTCACTGCTTATTATCTCTTATAGAGGCAGTTTTTGAGTAATCCAGGATGATACCAAAAAACCAGAAAAGACACAAAAGTTGTCATGGTATAACTTGGAGCAAGAGCCTTAAGTGTGGTAGTATTGTATATTTATACAATTTATTTAGAGGAAGCAAACTGTTTTACTTACTCGATTCACCCCAGGGGTTGGTGTTTTCTTTTCTGGAAAGAAATTTGAGGTTGTCTATTGGTTCACAGATGTACAAAGTTCATGGTCCTTCTGTCCTCTGGTGTCTCATGTGGTTTGAGTTTTACCATGGAAAGGTGAATCCACCTATCAATTCCCTGTACCCTAATGGCAGAAGGAATGGTTAGTAGGGTTGTGAAAGGACCTTCTGTTTGGGTAAAAGTTGGTCCTGGGGTCTACCCCCTTTCTAAGTCTTGATTAGGACTTGGTCATCAGGGTGGACTTTGGGCTGACAATCATTGTTAGTTCCTGGGAGTAGAAGAATCCTGTTTCTATATTCCTGGAGGGCCTATTGAAAAGTTTCTAGGTTGGTCACATGATGAAAGAGTTGGGAGGTTTCAGTGTCTGTAAATAGATCAGTTGTCAGAAAGGACCTCCCATAAAGTATCTCAAATGGACTGACATAAAGTTTGGACTTGGGGGCTGTGCAAAATTTCATTAAGGCAACTGGAAGGAAATATATCCACTTCTGGTGGGTTTCTTGATATAATTTGGCTAAGGTCCATTTGAGAGTTATTGGCTCTCTCAACCTTTCCTGATGACTGGGGTCTCCATGAGGTGTGGAGGTAATACTTAATTTCCAATGCTTTGGAAACTCCCTGTGTGATTTGGGATATGAAGGAGGGCCCATTATCACTCTAAATAGATCTAGGCAGTTCAAACAAAGGGATTATTTCTTTAAGAAGGACTTTCACAGCCTCTAGAGCCCATTCTCACCTGGTAGAGAAAGCTTCTATCCACCCAGTTAAAGTGTCCATGCATACCAAGAGGTGTGTATATTCTTTACACATAAGCAGACAGGTGAAGTCTATTTGTTAGTGTTCTTCAGGAAAGGACCCATGGCTTTGCAGTGGCTCAGGAAATAGGGAGACTGAGTCCTTGGGTTATGGAGGGCATAGACCTGGATTACATTATGGATTTCAGGTCCTATAAAATCTATGTTCCATAGTGGTAGTGACATCTCCCCCTAGGTGGAAGGCCTCATGTAGGGACTTAGTGAGTTTCCATTGTACTCACTGTGGCATGAACAGTCAGGGTCCCATATACCACCATTTGCCCTTTTGAGCTTTTTCTCTGTTACAAATCATTTCAAGCTCTTCTGTAAAATATTCTGGTTCTAAGTCAAGATCTTGGAATGGGATTATGAGGAGAGCTGTTGATGGGCCAAAACTATATTGGAGTGGCTTGTTTGGCAGAGGAATCTGTCTTAGAGTTATCCAGACAAGTATTTGACCTTAAAAGAGAACTACAGGTCACTTTTCATAATGACAGTAGATTCAAAGATCCTCAACAAGATGCTGGCAAACAAAATGCAAGAAATTATTACAAAGATCCTACATCTTGACCAAGGAGGCTTCATCCCGTGTATGCAAGGATGGTTTAACCCACACAACTCAATAAATGTAATAGATCACACAAGCAGAATCAAGGGCAAAAATCACCTGATCTTCTCAATAGATGTAAAGAAAGCCTTGACAAAATCCAACATTCATTTATGAAAAAAAAACTGAATAAAACAGGTATAGTAGGACTTTATCTCAATCTGACAAAAGCCATTTGGGACAAACCTACTGCCAACATGATATTAAATGGGGAGAAATGGAAAGCTTTTATTACACCTTTTCATTAAAATGTTAAAACAGAAACAATCTGTTGGAAAATAAAATAGATAAAACTCTTGAAGACATAGGCATAGCAAGGACAGAACCTCAGTGGCACAAGAAATGGTACCAAGAATCAACAAATGGAATAATATCAAATTCAAAAGCTCTGCACAATAAAGGAAAAAACCAAATTTTGCCAGCTATTCCGCTGAGAGAGGACTAACATCTAGAACATACAAAGAACTGAGAAAGATTAGATGCCCCAAAATAAAAGATCAATCAAAAATGGGCAGCTGTAATGAATATATACTTCTCAGAAGTGCAAATGACCAATAAATACATAAAAAAATGTTCAACCTCACTGACCAATAGAAAAATACAAATTAGAGCAACACTGAGACTCCAACTTACTACGGAATGAATGACCATCATAAAGATTCATGGAATAACAAATGCTGGTAAGGCTGTGGGGGAAAATAAACCTTTCTACATCATTTGTGGAAATAATTTAAACCTGTCCTCCCTCTTACACAGGCCAAATCTTCTCACTTGTCATCACTGCAGCAATTCTCTGAACTTTCTCCAATGTCATGATTTGTGCGGCGAACCCAGATTTACCCCTACTCCATCACAGTGAATTTTAGGACATCAACAATAAAAAGATTCTAAAACTTCCACAGAATGGGCCAAATCACTCATGCACGAAGAATCAGAAATGAGAAAGTTCTTGATATATCACAGAAGACAAAAGGATAAAGTCTTCAAAATTATGAGAAAAATTATTTTTTATCCTGCAGTCCCATACTCAGCCAATCTATAAGAATGGAGAATTTTCAGAAATGCAAAGACTTAGAAAGTAGTAAGAACGAGGTCTCCCCACATATGGTAGAAAAACAAGAAGCTATACACTCCAGAAAACAGCATCAGACAGCAAGAATGAGATGAGAAGTTTCAGGAAAATAACTGAGAACAGGCAACCCATACAGACAAAGGACAAAGTGCAGGGGAAGGTCACCCCGTATCAGGAAAAATGTGTGAATAAACAGTAAATAACATTCTCATACTTAACACTGCAAACACTATTAACTTAGTGAAAAATGTGATAGTTCTTTAGAAATACAAAGGCAAAAGAAATGAGCAGGAAAGTGATATAAAAATACCAGATTCTCATTTTCAATACCAGGAAATCAATCAAGAACATTAGCAAGTCAACTGAAATCAGTTTCAATAGTAATAAAACTAGCAAATCAAGAATATTACATAATATACTTGGGCATGGTGGTTCATGCCTGTCATCCCACAGCTACATGGTTCTCGGTAGTACCGAAGGAGAGTCTCTCACATCAGAAAGGAACTATTTATATATATAAAGAAATGACATCAGAACAGGTTACATTGCTTTCACTTGGCTCAGTTTAATAGGGAAAGAAGGAACGATGCATTTTAGAAACGTCTTTATCAAAAAGTGTTTAGAATATAGCAAAGATCTGTCAACAAAAGTAGTAAACATGTGAACACATGGGTTTTCTGATGAGATCAGACAAATGACTTGAGAAAAGAGTGGCTATTGTTACAAACGGCCTACGCTCTGAATAAAGGTTGCTGAAACACTAGCAACCAATTGCAGACTTTTGTATTGCTCATTCCCAGAGCTACTAAACCAGTTTCTTTAGGCTACCTGGGCTGGCTTGGGAAAGGATCTGGTCAATATGTAGTCTGCCAGCGATGTAGGTAAATAAGACAGAGGAATGATGAAAAATTTTGCCTCCCAGCCCCCTGAATATCGAGTACGAGGATGTGCAGAGGTCAGAGCATGTTCTATGCAGTCAGTGACCGGGTTCAGGTTTATTTTGGAATATGACAGCATTTTATTTGTCAATCTGTAATCTGTATACAAAAAGAGGAAAAATGATTAGCAATCTTAGTCCTTATACTGCTACCTTAAAATCTTTTTGCATGAAGTCACAAGGTCTAACCACATTAATCCCAAAGTATTACAATGAACCAACCAGACCTGTGCTTCCCTCTTTGACAGCCAATAGCTTTGGAATATTTGGAATATAACTAGTGTGAATAAAATTGAATTTTCAATTTTATTTTAATCTATTTTAATTTTAAAACTTATTTCAGCCAGGCGTGATGGCGCACGCCTATAATCCTAGCACTTGGGAGGCTGAGGCAAGAGGATCATTGCAAGTTTGAGCCAGCCTGGGCTACAAAGTGAGTTCAAGGCTAGCCTGAACTATGTAGTGAGACCCTGCCTCAAAAAAAAAAAAAAAAAGACACAAAACTCATTTCAGTTACTAGAAAAATTTTAAGTATATTTGCACCAACACACATATATTAATCTGGTTTTTCAATTTGAAAATTTCTAAAATTTTTATTGGGTCATAAAAATCAGCATTAAAAATGTGTAAATTAATGATTTTTAGCACACAGTATTCACAGTTCGGCAACCACCACCACAATCCATGTTTAGAACATGTACAGCAGACCAAAAAGAAATCCTGAAAGCTGGGGGTGTAGCTCAGCAATAAGAGCACTTGCTTACCTGCATGTGACACTGGTTCAACCAACAGCACAAAAACAAAAACAAATCAACAAAAAAAAAGAAAGAAAAAAAAAAAAATCTGGTACACATCAACAATCACTTTCTTTTCTCAGCAGCTCACCCAACCCAGAGCAACCACTAATACACTTCCTATCTCTATGGATTTGCCTTTCTGGAAATTTCATACAAATGGAGTCATATGTTACAGTCCTTTGTAAGGATTCTTTGGCTGAGCAACATGTTTTGAAGATTCTTCTATGTTGCAGCAGTTATCAATGCACCCTAGCTTTTCACTGCCAAATGAAATTCCACTGTAAGGCTGCAGCACATTGTTGTTTATTTATCAACTGGTGCATGTTTCAATTGTTTCCATTTAGAACTATTATGCGTAAGGCTGTTGACAACTACATTCTATTAAATCTAATAGGAAAGTAGTACTTCCTAGGAAAAATTGGCTTCCAAGTACATAAAATAAAATCAAAACTAATTTTCAAAGCCTACTAGGAAAAAACATAAAATATATCATGAATAACTTCTACACTGACAATTAGTATTTTATAACAGTATTTTGGATATATTGGATGAAATAGAAAAGGGTATTAAGTAAATTTTTTGCTCTCTTCTCTCCCCCAACCCAAATTAACTTAAAGCTGAACTGGAGTCTGGTGAACCAGGTCCTTGCCCACTGACCTCTCCCTGCCGACAGCCTCCCTCCTGTCACAGTAAGACAGAGTTTATGGCCAGGATCTTCAACCAACAAGGCAGACAGTATTGAAGACTGCACTTAAGTCAAGCAGATATCTCACACCACACATCAACCCTGCCAAACTATCAAAGAGCCCTCCTCTCAAGACCGAAGATTCCATACATCGAAGTATGAAATGCTTCCTATTGTTCAGGGAACCTAGCCCATCCATACATGGGTAACAGGTAGGGCAGAAAGACCTTGGCTCTAGGCTGCCTACAGCCCTTTCTGTGAATGTGACAGCCGAAAGACTGCGCCAACCAAGAGAGCACTGGGATCTTCCTGCCCCACTCCTGTGCTGGGAAGGCTTTTTTAAAAAAGCTTTGTCTCAAGCCATCTGCCAATCTTTCTCCACCAATCCCCTCTGCCTTTTCTTATACAACCATACATTATTTTTAGGAAAAAAAAAAAAAACTTACAAACATCCAAATACTTCTGTCCATAGGATTCCTTAATATGCGTAGGGGCTTCCTTCCAGGCTTGCTTCATTTTCTCTAAGCAAATCAACTTGTTTGTCATCCCCGTATTGAAGAAGCCAGGAGCAACTATGCTGACTTTCACCCCAAACTCTCTCAGCTCACGCCTGCAACAAACCCCCTCAAATTAATTCCTTTGATTATTAGAAGTAAATGTAATGAAACAAAGTGGTATAATAACAGGAAATATTTAATGTCCCAATCTCCACTTTCCATTTTACAAAGTGTACCAAGTAAATGGCAAAAACAAGACAGAGAAAGGAATACTGTGTCAGGAATCTAGAAATCAAGGAGAATGAGGTGGCAACTGACACTTGTAATGCCGCATTCTCTCTCAAAACCGACAAGGGGCTGGGGATTTAGCTCAGCAGCACAGCGCCTGTCTGGCAAGCGCAACGTCGTGAGTTCGATTCCCGGTACTGGGGTCGGAGGGTGGAGAACCAACTGACAGCTGGGTGTGGTGGCATACCGGAAGTGACGGCACACGCCTGTCATCCCAGCACTCGGGGAGCTAAGAGCATGTCAGTGCTGTCAGGAAGGATAACACAAAACAAGACAAAAATGATTAATTTAATTTTAAAAAACGCTACTGAGTATTTTAAAGAATAAAAAATGAAGAGGAAAAATAAAAATTTAAAAACCCTTAGTTTCAACAATTAAATATGATTATATCAACTACTATAAACATTTAATTATATATCCAATTGTTTACCAAACATTTATTTATTTATTTATTTTCGGTTCTTTTCCAGTACCGGGAATTGAACTCAGGACCTTGCGCTTGCCAGGCAGGCGCTGTGCCTCTGAGCTAAATCCCCAGCCCCCTGTTTACTGACCATTTAATTACCCATTATATGCTGCACACAGATGGTGAAAGGAAAACCATTTCTATAATAAAGAAAACAAGCACTTACAATGACAGGTACAATATTAAACATTTTACATGCACAATCTCAGCAGATTAAAACTCACTTCCTCACTTCCAAAAGCTCACAGTGGGTAAGTCCAATAAGTATGAAAAAACTCCAAAGAATTACATGGCCTGGGAGTGTAGCTCGGAGATAGAGTACATGCTTAGCATATATAAAGCCCTGGGTTCAATCACCACTACTGGGGAAAAAGAAAGAATTTCAATAAGTATTGAGGGGCTGGGGATTTAGCTCAGCAGCACAGTGCCTGCCTGGCAAGCGCAAGGTCATGAGTTCGAGTCCCGGTACCAGAAGAAAAACAAACCGGAAAAAAAAAAAAAAAAAAGTATTGAAAGAGCTACATAAGTAGAGAGGGGGTGCAGAGGCAGAGAGATTTTCTGAGGCAGTCAGAAAGCTTTCATTAAGAAGACACTTCAGTTGAGCCTGGTGGATAGAGGAACTCGCCAGATAAAGAAAGAGGAAGCCTGGCTTATCAGAGAGTGGGAACTTCAAAGACAAAAGCACAGTCAAATTGCTAAGCTGCTCCACCTTGGTTTCCTCACATATACGATATGGATCAAAATAATAACTTCCCCACTGGAGTCCTATGAAATTTAAGTAATACTGGGGATGGTGGCTCAGGCCTCTGATCCCAGCACGCTCAGAGGCTGAAGCTAGATGATCATGATCACAAGTTTCAGACTAGCCTAGAACACTTAGCATCTTTACAAGACCTTATCTCAAAATTTAAAAAAATAATAATAAAGTAAAAGAAAAATGGGCTTGGGAGGTAGCTGAGTGCATGGCACTGAGTTCAGTCTCCAGTCTGGAAATATAGGCCAAAAAGAGAAATTTAAGTGATTTAATAGATGTACTCACAACCATGTCTGACATATAATAAGTGCACAAAATGTTACATACATACTATCAGCTAACACAAAGAAATGAACTATCAATAGGACTCCCCATAGAAATTAAAATATAACTGAAAATTTTTGAAAAAGGAAGCAACTGGGTGTGGTGATGCACACCTGTAATCCCAACCCTCAGAAGGCTGAGGCAGGAGGATCATTGTGAGTTTGAGATCAGCCTGGGCTACATAGTGAGTTCAAGATCAGCCTAGACTACAAAGTGAGACCTTGTCTCGAAGAACCAAAACAAAACCAAAAGATGGAAGCAGAAATAGTAGGTGAGCAAAAGCCAAGTGTCAAAGGAAGGGCCATGAGGGGTTGCAGCAAATTCAAATTATAATAAAACACATGCAGAGGAAAGGGAAGAAAAACTTGGAAGCAGGTGAGGAAGCTGGGAGGAAGAGGATCACCAGGAAGAGACAGTAACAACTCACTCAGAATAAAAGAGAATTATTCATTCTTCAGAAATTAAATTTTACCAAGGGTAACTCTTGAGAATCTCAGTGAATTGGGTGGAAGAACAAAAAGACCTTGAGCCAGAAATGTGGCTCTGTCAAACCGTGGCTGTGGCAGGTGAATTTTGGAAAAGGTATTTAAATCTGAGCCTTAGTTTTCTATATATAATGGACTAGTAATCATATCTATGAACTAAGATTTGGGGAGTGATGAAATAGGATAAAGTAGTGCAAGTGCACAGCACCATGCCTAAGACGTGGGGACGCGTTCAATAGTTGTTTCTGTTTTGCCTCCACAGCGTTACCTCAGTACATCTGAAAACGCTTCAACTCCATACTTGGAGCAGCTGTAGGCTGCAGGAGGGACAGCAATTCTTCCAAAAACGCTGGAGACATTGACGATCCTCCCTCGCGCTTTCCTCACCAAGGGAAGCACGCTCAGGGTCACCTCGGTCAAACCAATGAGGTTCACTTTGAGAGTATTCACCAAGTCTTCAGTCCTGTGCCACTCACTCACTCACTGTGACTGGGGGAAAAATGCCTGCGTTGTTGACCAGGCCCCAGAGTCCTGAAACAATGAAAGTCAAGTCAGGAATTGAGTCTCAGATAAAAATGATGACTGGTTCCTTCACCAAGTTTCCTACTAAGAACAACTAAAAATGCTAGACAACAAAAAATGCTAGAGAAAATATATGCTCCTATTTTAGAGGAAAAATGACCTTCATACATGAGATATGCTCAGAGAGCACAGAAATTAGAAGTAAATGCAATGAAACAGGGTGGTATAGTAACAGGAAATATTTAATTTCCCAATCTCCCCCTTCCATTGTACAAGGTGTACCAAGTGAATGGCAAAAACAAGACAGAGAAAGGAATACTGTCAGAAATCTATAAATCAAGGAGAATAAGGTGGCAGTTGATACTTGTGATGCCACATTCTCTCTCAAAACCAACTGATAGCTGGGTGTGGTGGCGTACGGGAAGTGATGGTGTACCGGAAGTGGTGGCACACGCCTGTAATCCCAGCACTTGGGAGGCTGAGGCAGGAGGATCACTCTGAGTTCAGGCCAGCCTGGGCTACATAAGTGAGTTCAAGGCCAGCCTGTACTACATAGCAAGACCCAGTCTCAAAATAATCAAACAAACCCAATCAATAACCATTTTAGTACCGTAACTATATACGCATTTTAAGTATACACACCTGCAAGTGGTTGAGTGATATCTATGCAGAAACTAACAAAAGTCCTACTTATAAATCTGCTCTACACTTAAAGATCTGATGTTGTATTCAAATCATTATCACTACAGGCCCTTGAAGAAAAAACTGAGGAAATTTATTGGAGTATTTTTTTTGAAAACCCTAAAAATGATCACAGTCAAATCAGTTTTTCCTCTCATTTGTGAACACAGCCAGATTTCTCATCTGTTCAAAATAATGTATTTAATAGAGTTAGTACCTCCCATGGTACAATAGTAAAACCACTCTTGGATGGAATTCACTGGATTTGCCATTGTCAAAGTGGAATTGCAATTCAGACAAATCTTTTTCTTTGACCAGAGTTATAGATAACATGGACGAAAAATTACCAAATGCTCTTTCTTCTTCCACACAGATTCCAGGGTTTTTTCTCTGCTTTTTAGAAATAGTCAAAATGATTATGTGGCCCACTATACACCTTTGCCTCTGTCCTGGAATCTTCTTTCCTCTATTTATCTGAGAGGAGATGCTGCAGTTTATCTGGCTCACCACTCAGTTCTCTGGAAATGGTCTGCATCAAGTTACCCAATCCAGATACTGGCATACAGAAGAAACCAGTTGATTAAACTTTTTTTTAACTGATATTAGAAATTAGATTTGAAAAATGGGGAAAAGGGTTGAGATGAGATGGTACATAGACTTACATGCATTCACACATACACCCACCCTTTTCCCTAGCAGGGATGGAGGAAGGAAGATGAAGAAGATTGTTTAAAATATTTAACATAATTAAGCATAAGGGAAGGGAGGCAAGAAACACATTATTGATGACTTCTGATAACGAAAATACAATGAAGATATTTAGAAATTTTATTCCTATATGATGAGAAAGCTTTTTTTTTCACTAAACAGTACTTTAGAAAATACCCAAGACTTGACTTCTTTAACAAAATACAGAGGAGTAGGGCCCAATTCCTCAAGTTCAAATATTCTAAAATAGAAAGACCCATCTCTGAGGACTAAGAAGTCGACAGACCGGAAGCTCAGTTAAACTTTAATACAACTTACTAATAGCATGTCATTGTGCCTAGTAAATCTAACTTGACACATGCGTATAAAAAGCCATCAAAGTCAAATGGCTAGAAGTTTCTCTTCCCAAGGACAAGGTCAGACCAAAAATTAGAATAATAAAGAAAGAGACACACCAACATTTACCCATTTCAGAAAGTTTCTGAAGAGGATTCTTTCATTTCTTTAAAGTTTTTTTAAATAAATGCACCTTTCTCTTATACATAAATTTAATTTGCAATGTAAAAACATGGCATTTAAACATGAAAATGCAATTGAGTTTTGAAAACTGTTTTCAAAGGTGCAAAAGAATGTTTCACTTTTCTTTGTAAAAGAGTTAACCTATGTATAACAAAGGCCTGAGTCTGCAGCTAAATTATATGACATGTATCATATGCTGATATTCATAGGGTTATTTTTTACCTCTGGATGTGGTAAAGTCCTAACCATAGGCCTTTGTCTCTGTCCTGGAATCTCCTTTCCTCTATTTATTTGAGAGGAGATGCTGTAGTTTATCTGGCTCGCTACCCAGTTCTCTGGAAATGGTCTTATTTATCAATCCAGATAGGCATACAGAAGAAACCAGTTGATAACAAGCACTATGTCACCTTAGTGTTTATCATCTATAGTAATAAAATCAGCAACAGTACCATAAGAACCTATAATGTACAAGTGTAGGCTTGAGCCCAGTCTGGGCAACTTAGTGACTTAAAAACAAACAAAATTTTTAAAAGAGCTAGAGATGTAGCTCAGTGCAAATGAAACAGAGAGCAAGAGCCTGACATCCCCCCTCCTTTTCCTAGGCCAGCTGCAGGGAGGCACGGTTTAGCCCATAGCTGTCGCATCCCTCCCCCTCACTTCCCTTCACCCTCCCCCTTGGCACTGGGGGATGGATGGAACAACTTGCCTCCTGCTTCCATGTCCCCCCTCCACCCCTAAGGTTGCTTTGCTGCTGCTGTCCCATTGTTAACATCCCCGATCCACACAAACTCCCGTAACTGTGATTAACACAGCTAGCTCCCCTGTAGATTCCCCAGTTTCAGCCTGCCATTTTTGAAGAGACATGACAGCTATCAATCAAACAGCTGTGTCTATGCCATTCCAGCAAGCTGCTGCCCTGACAGCTATAGCTATCCCAGATGCCCTGTACCTGCTCTGGAAGATGTCTGCTCTAATTGTAGCAAGCTCCAATTTAAAATAAGTAGGATTGAATTTGGACCAATCAATAGGCTCTAAGGGGCTGGGAATTTAGCTCAGCGGCACAGCACCTGTGTGGCAAGCGCAAGGTCGTGAGTTCAATTCCAGGTACCGGGGGCGGGGGGAAGGGGGGGAGGCTCTAATCAGAAGACTTGAATTTAGACTAGCTTGGACCAATCAGCAGGCCTTAATTGCAGCCCATCATAGGCCTAAAGTCACTATGTAAGTAATGTTCTCCTCACACTTCTCAGATTAGGGTAGGGGGGTTTGCTCTGGTCATGTTCAAGTAAAGCCTTGCTCTAGTGGTCCTGTGATCTATTTCTTGGGTAGTGTGACTTTTAAAGGTCCTACAAATCTACTCAGACATAGTGAGTATCCTAAATACTGTAGACAGAGCAGTTTCTTCAAAATAAAGAGCTACAAACACTAGGAGCTATTAGCCCTGAAGAACCCCAGAGACCGGGATCCGACTAAGATCAGCAACAGAAAGCAGCAACAACAGAGCCAGCTGATGGCACCCAGTACAAACCAGCATGGAATAGCGGCAGCTACAGAGGGTAGAGACCAGCAGCCAACAATGGTAACAAACCGCAAGCAGGGTTACCTGGTGTTGACCGGAGGTATTGGGGCTACTGGCAGAGCTGTGCTTTCCTGATTCACAATTTCTATCTCAACTGAGCAATAGATTCATGACCCAATCCCAGTACCAGGAAAAGCTAATAAGCCCCATGTGTAGAGAAATCCACATTTACGCACGTCAAAATAAACATCAAAGAGCAAAGAAATTCTTAAATAGCAGGAAGAAAGGCATATTATATTCAACAGAAAGCAGCCTCGCAACTTGTCTGCTAGCAGAAAAACAGGAGCTAGAAAACAATGGAATGGATTCATCAGTGTGCAGAGAGAAAATAATGGTAAACTTAGAATTGCATTTCTAGCAAAAATATCTTTCAGAAATGTGGAAAAAATAAAGGCATTTTTAAAAGTACAAAAACAGAAATTTTGCCCTGATACTTGCTCATTTTGAAATCCCAAAGAATGTATGTAGTCAGGAAAAAAAATGATTTTAGATCAAAGATTCAAATAGAATCTTTTTAAAAAAGAAATAATAACCCAGGTATGGTGTCCCTTCCCTGTAATTCCAGCTGCCAGGGGAGGCTGAGGCAGGAGCATCACAAGTTTGAAGCTAGCCTGGCAAATCAGTGACACACTGTCTCATGAAAGTAGAATGGAGCCTGCATTAGATGAGAACAAGAGAATAAAAGAGTTGGAAAGTGGATGTAAGTAACAGATATGAACAAAATATGCCCACTGAAACCCCTCAAAATAGGTGAACCTAGGGAGACATGGAGGGTAAGGGAGGTGATGAGGGGGCAAAAATGATAAAGATTGTCAGATGCAAGTATAAATCACCAAAATGAAAACCATTAATTTGTATAACAATAAAAAGTGTGAAAAAATTAAAATTGTGAATGTGAGGATCTGGGTAAGGTGGCACATGCCAGGAATCTCAACACTTAGGAGGAGGCTGAGTCAGTAATATTTCCATATGTTCAAGGCCAGCCTAGGCTACACAGTGAGTTCAAAGCCAGCCTGAACTACATAGTGAGGCCCTATTTCAAAAAAATCAAAATAAATTTTTTCTAAAGGTCCAGGAGCTGAGTGTGGTGGCATTTGCCTGTAATCCCAGCACTCTAGGAGGCTGAGACAGGAAGATTGCAAGTTCAAGCCCAGCAATTTAACAAGACCCTGTCTCAAAATTTTAAAAAATTTTAAAAGAGACTGGGGCCGGGCATAGTGGAGCAAACCTGTAATCCCAGCACTCGGGAGGCTGAGGCAGGAAGATTATTGCAAGTTCGAGACCAGCCTGTGCTACAAAGTGAGCTCAAGGCCAGCCTGAACTGCGTAGCGAGATCCTGTCTCAAGAAGACCAAAAATAAAAAATAAAAATATAAAAAAATAAAAAGAGACTGGGTATGTAGCTCAGTTAAGGCCCAGGGTTCAATCCTTAGTACTAAAAATAGAAAAAAATAAATAAGATTGTGGCTCATGATAGAGCATTTGCCTACCAGTACTGCCCCCCAAAAAAGGAATAATAAGCAAAGAAAATAATAGACAAAAGATATATATCCATAATCTTCAATGAAATAAATCAAACATACAAGTTTAAATAATGCAAACTTGTTTCTCCTGCATGAGAAACCCAAAGTGTAAATATGGAGCAAAGTACAGGATAGATATTGGGAAATAGGAAGAACTTGTTCACAACTCCTTTTCACTCAACTATCTCCTCAAAAGCCCCATTTTCACTTTTTCCTTTCACAGGCTATTTATGCTCAGGATCCTATAAAAGACCATAGTAGTCTAAGTCCCAGGGTGATTCCTCTCAGGTTTGTTTTGAAATAAACCTCTCCCCTTGAGCTCCTACCTTTGGTTTTTCTCCTTTTTTTTTCCCAACAAAAGGGGTTTTAAAAGAGAGAAAGAGAATTGAAGGAAGGGGCTGGGGATTTAGCTCAGCAGCACAGTGCCTGCCTGGCAGGTGAGGTTGTGAGTTCGATTCCCGGTACCAGGGAAAAAAAGAGAATTGAAGGAAAAAAGTGGAAACAGCTTTTTTAAATCAGGACAGAAAGAATGGTTGAAGGTGGAGAAGGGAACAGAGAAAAAAGAATTAAAATAAATTATGTACATGTACAAATTATGTACAGGTACAAATGGGGGAAAGGTGAAAGGAAGGAAGAGAAAAAGAAAAAGATATACTTGTACACAAAAGCTAGTCCAGATAGTTATACAGCTAGTTTCTCCTAGTTTACTGAAGAGAAAGTTTTGTGTTAATATTTTTGGGACAAGATTTGGACAAGATGGGCCTGGGGATTTAGCTCAGTGGCACAGCACCTGCCTGGCAAGCTCAAGGTCATGAGTTCGATTTCCGGTACCTGGGAAAAAAAAAAAAGATTTGGACAAGATATCATGCCTTGTACCCTGAATAACTACTATGAAGACAACAATACATAATTATTCGTTATTGTAACTCTACTACTAACCTGTTTTGAAATTCTGGGTTTTTCAATTTGTTTCTCCTTAAAATAAAAAAAATGAGATTACATATAATATGATTACAGTTGTATGACATTCTGGAAAAGGCAAAGCTATGGGAGCAGCCACAAGAACAGTAGCTGCCCGGGGATGATAAGGTGGGCATAAATATGTGGAGCGTAGAGACTTTGTAGGGCATGAAACGACAGTGGTAATGCCTTGGTTTGTGACCTCAATTTGTTCCACGATTCTAGGGATGATGGCCAGGTTCATGTTCGTGCTGGGAAGATGGCTGCAGTCATGTTTATCACCCCATGCTGAGTTCGTGGACAGAAGCAAAACTTTGCTAGATGCTTCAGTCTGCGAACCAAACGGTTCACAAACAGAAGCATCCATGAACCGAGGCATTAGTGTATTCTGTATGACATTACAATAATATAATGTGTCCTTTATATTTGTCCAAACCACATAGTAGAGCCCTAATGTATACTACAAACTTTAACAATAACACATAAGTATTGGCTGGTTAGTTGTAACAAACATACATCACTAATGTTAATAAGAGAAAGTGGGAGGAAGAGGTGTATAAGGAACTGTATGCTCTGTCCAGTTTTTTGGGGGGGCAGTACTGGGAATTGAACTCAGCACCTCACACTTACCAGGCAGGCACCATGCCACTGAGCTATTCCCCTGGCCCTCTGTCCAATATTTTGCAAAACTAAAACTGCTCTAAGAAATAAAGTAAATTAATTTTTAAAATAATATCAAAAGAATTTTAAGGAGGACCAAAAGCTTTTAGGAACGCCAACATTTTAAGGGGCATCCAAGGGAAAACATCTTCATCGCTTTCTTTATCACTGAGACACAATATCCAATACCTACCATTTAAAGAAGGAAAAGTTTCTTTTGGCTGACAGATTAGGTCATAGTCAGCCAGCGCCAAGGCAGTAACAGCACACCAGAAAGGCCTGCCAGAAGAAAACTGCTCGCATCATGGTGGCCAGGGTGCAGAGTGAGCAGGGAGTAGCTGCAGCGGAATAAAACCTTCCAGGTCACTCCCCTAGTGACCAGCCTCTACCCAGAACCCACCCACAACAGATCACTCAGCCACTGAACTCATCTGTAGATGAATCGCCTGATAAACATGGCACCTCATCATTCCAGCCTCCTTCCAAAAGCCCCGCCCCTGAGCGTATGAAATCTGGGGGAACGTTCTAGGCCTAAATCATAGCATAATCATAATTCTTTAAAAATTGATTTGAAAACTATCCAACCATAAATCATTGTGTTTATAAATACTCCACATGCAAAGTGAGATGAAAGCCTCCATTCTATATACGGAGCTTGATTTTAAACTAATATATTATTAAGGAAATAAAACATCAGAGAAGTTCATGACTATCTTTCAAATGACAAATCCTGCCTTTCCTAACTTGCCTTTGATATATTTACAGTATAAGACCTTTGCACCTCCATGCCCAAATAAGCAAACAGAGAAGGTATTCTTTGATACCTCTGCGCCCCACGCACTCCTTGACCCACTGGGCGGCTGCAGCAATGCTCTCCATCTGGGTGACGTCCAGGATCACTGTCTCCAGCCGTGCTGACGTCCGCTTCCTCAGCTGCTCGGCCCCTTCTTCCGTCAGACAGGCGGCCAGCACCCTCATGCCTCGCATGTCCAGCTGTCTGGCCAGCAGGTTCCCGAAGCCCGAGTCACAGCCCGTGATGAACACATACTTGTCCTCGAGGTGGCTCATCACCTGCCTCTCCCGGTACCAGCGCACGAGGTGGTACAGGCCCTCGAGTGCTGCCAGGTAGCGCCACATGAGGAGGCTGCGTCCTTCTCCTTCAACAGAAACAGAACGGCCTTCGTTTTATTCCTTCCTTTGTCTCAAGGGGACTCTGTCTACTGATACTTAGTCTCACAGTGAAGGGGCCACTGTCTAGAGGGGGCGCTCTGGGAGGTAACTAGACATGCAGTGCAGTCGACCAGGGCCAGAACAGAAGCACAAACACAGTCTAATGAGGCTGCAAAAGAGGAGGAGCTGTAGCCTGGCAATGTTGGAAATCCCCCCCACAGGCAGGGATTTGGGTACTACTTCCTACAGCTCAGTAAGAATCCAGAAAGAAGGCAGGGGTAGAGGGACATTCCAGGCAGTAACAATGTATATTTGAATTGAGTTGTGAACAGCAAAGTTCTCCTGATACCTACAGTCAGTTTCCCCTCTGCCATGTCATCCTACCAGCCAACTATGAGTTGGAACGTGCATGAACCATGAACTAAATAAGTCTTTTGTACTTTAACGTTAGGTGTCAGGTATTTTGTCTCAGCAGCAAGAAAAGTAACTCAGACAGCACACAAGTGGGATCATTGCTGTGATTATACCTGACCATGTGGTCCAGAAACCTTTCAGACTTCCCTGTAGGAAGAATTTGGAAAGTTTCAGACATGCCAGCTGAAATAGTAGGGCTGGAACACTTTAGGTTGTATTTGATGGGAGATTCTGGTCAGAGCTCAGAAGATAAGAAGGCTGATAGAAATTCTTCCAGTAAAGACCAGGCTCAGGAGATTTCTGACAGGAAGAAGGACTGAATTGGCTGTTGAACTCCAGACAATGCGTGTTAAACCTTAGCTGAAAGTTTGTCTGCATGTTGCTCATGTCCAGAGACTTTGCCTGAGACTGAAATGAAGGGTGGCAAACTAATTAATCTTGCAGAAGAAATTTAAAGGCTGTTTAATGTTGATGCAGTAGCATGACTACTGTTGGGGGCTTTTAGCCAGATTTATGTTGAGAATCAAGAGCATAGTGCCCAGCAGAATGATTCAAAATGTTGTGAGTTTGACCAGAAAGGAAGCTCTAGTAAATCAGCTACCTGCAAAGATGGAACAGAGGAGGAATTAGTCACTAAAAAGCTTAGCAAGAAAAAGCTAAGTACTACAGAAGAAGACAACAGAAATGATAGCCTGAAGACAACACAAGAAGCAGCAGAACTCTTGCTTTCAAAGCCTCAGAATTACAAAAGTGAAAGACTCGAGACTTTGCTTTGAGAAGCCCCAGAGCACCATGTTCCAGAATGGCTGTGGCCTAGGGAAGTTGTTCCTTGGGATTTGGCTCATAGGCATTCAATCCCTACAGCCAAGAGAGAAGAAAGTCTGGCTACTCTCCACCTGGGGGCAGACCTTAGCATCATCCATGTGGTGCTGGTTTTAGATGCACTCAGAATGCAAGAGTTGTGGTCTCAGGAAGTCTTCCACCCAGATTTCAGAAGCCCTGGGAGGCCAGGCAGGTGCCCCTGAGAGGGCAGTATATGAAGCTGTGAGTGTAAAGCCAAAGGTGCAGTGGAGATTCCAGAAGTCGGAAGAAGCCAAATCATGGATTATCTGAGGAAAACTGCAAGAAATGAGCAGAACCAGCCCAAGAGAGAAGCCATGGAAGCTACAACTGTTGACAGTCCCATAGTTGCAGATCCACCCAAACCCTTTAGAGTTCACATCTTGCCTCAGATACTAAATATGGAACTACAGGAGTTAATGCTTTCCCTGCTGGATTTTGGACTTGCTTTGTACATGCCTTTGTATCCACCTATTTGTACCTTTTGGAATGGTAATGTTTATCTTTACTATTGAATTTTGGAAGTGTTTAACTTTGCATTTGTACAGGGGCTTACAGCTAAGAGTTTGCCTTAAATCTCAGAGCAGACTTTGAACTTGGATTTTTCAGCAATGCTGAAAGTGTTAGAGCTTTGGCAATTTTTAGAGATGAACTAAATGCCTTTTGTATAAAAGGATGTGCATGAGTCTTTGCAGGGGTAGTGGCAGAATGTTATGGCTTGTGTTTATATGTCCCCCCAAAGCTTCATCCAATTATAGGTGGGTCTTTTTCAGAGGTGACTCAATCTAGGGTGTGTGATGTTGGAACTGATTCATGGTGCAATGCTAAAATCAAGGGTACTAGCTAGGTTTAAGGGTGGGTAGAACTGTAAGTAGCCTGGATAAGCTAAGGGATAGAGTGTGGGAGAAGCTGGTGTGGTAGCATATGTCTGTAATCCCAGCACTTGGGAGGCTGAGGCAGGAGGATCATTCCGAGTTCAAGACCAACCTGGGCTGCAAAGTGAGCTCAAGGCCAGCCTGAACTGCATAGTGAGACCCTGTCTCAAAAAGACAAAAATAAATAAATAAATAAATAACAGAAAGAGCTGTGGGAATCCTTTGCTTGTTCTTCCCTGCTTGCTTGCCATAGGCTATTTCTCCTCTGTGATGCCCCTCTACCATGTGCCACCCTACCTTGGAGCCAGCCAACTATGAGCTGAAACTTCTATGAACTGTGAGCTCAGTAAACCTTTCCTCCTTTAATTTTGGGTGTGGGGTATTTTGTCTCAGCAGTGAGAAAAGTAACTAAGACAATTATATAGATTTATGACTAATGAGAGAAAACCTACACAGTATGCTCATTATTCATCAATAATTCGTTGGATACACTAATTTACAGTCTATTTTCAAATAAATTTAATATATTTCACATAACCATTATAACAACTTACAAAACAACTGGAGTGTTCTATGACACATGTTAAATCAGCTCTGTGGTCATCATTGGCTTATAGTTAAAGGAAATATTCCTTTGAGATTAAATATTTTATAATTCCTTAGAATTAAGCAAACATAAAGAGACTCCTGCTACTTTTTTGTAGTTTATGACAACAATACACAAAAATGATCATATTTAAACTAAAATATGATCTTGGCCCCCACCACCGCCGTTTCCTTCTGTTGCTTATGCCTCTGTATCAATAGAACATATTTTCAAATCTACTCCTCCTCACTATTTTTTTTTTTTGTCTTTTTGAGACAGGGTCTCACTATACAATTCATGATGGATTTGAGCTCACTTTGGAGGCCAAGGTGGTCTCAAACTTGCAACGATTCTCCTGCCTCAGCCTCCCAAGTGCTAGGATAACAGGCATGCACCACCATGTCCAGCTCTTTTTCTTTCCTCATCATTTTAAAAATAATCATAACAACAGAAAATTAGAACAGAAGAAGGTTTTCAAACAATTTACCTTTTCCACAATGTTTACTTACAAGGTTTCTCACCAAATAATGATATGATCATTATTTTATTTTCATTTTGAATAAAGCTCAAAGAAAGTAGGAGAATAATTTTTATTTCCACACTCCCGAGTTTGGCATGTAATGCTCTGGTCATGGCCAGTCCTTTTGTTCTATCTCCTGTTTTATTTTTGCTTAAAGTATGAGCTCTGTTCATATGAAAATATTGGCAGTGGGGTTGGGGATTTAGCTCAGTGGCACAGCTCCTGCCTGGCAAACACAAGGTCATGAGTTTGATTCCTGGTACCAGAAAAAAGCAAAAACAAAAACAAAAAATGAAAATATTGGCAGTGGCCTGAAAGTGTTGTAGAATTCATACTTTTGTGCCTGTATTCCCAATAACAATCTTTAAAGCTCTGTAATTTAGATAATGAGGATTATTGTCCTGTGGTGCTAGGAATTGAACACAGTGCTTCACACATGCTAGACAAGCACTCTACCACTGACCTACATCACCAGCCCTCTCTATAACTATTTCATCAATATCTTAATGCTGATGGCAATACACAGCTGGGTTTAAAATACACCTATTATAATTAATTACACATTTTTTATCTCTGTCTATTGCCCCACTAAAGAACAGAAATGATGTCATTAACTTCTTTTCTTCCCAGGGCATACCTAAGTACCCAACACAGATTATATTAGTCAGGGTTCCCCAGAGACACACAAAAATAGGATAGATAGATTTAGATGTATAAGAGAGACTGTGTCAGTGGATTGGCTCACCCAACTATAGAAGCTGAAAAGTCCCACAATGGGCAGATTGCAAGCTAGAGACCCAGTGATGCAGTAGTGTGGCTCAGTCCAACTCCACAGGCCTCAGAAATGGGAAACCAGGCAACGGTACAAATCTCAGTCTAAGGGCAAAGTCTTTAGACCAGCATGTGATGGGAGGATGGGGCCTATGGAAATTCTGGAACTCAATATTCCTGCAACTCTGATATCCACAGGCTGAGAAGAAATGTGTGCCAGCTACAGAAATGAGGAAATCGCCTTCCCTCTGAATTTTGTGCTCTATCTGGACACCCGCCGATTAGATGGTGTCCACTGACATAGAGGGTGGACTCTCCCGATTCAATCCACCAATTCACACAACACCATGCTCTGAGAACATCTTCACAGATGAACCCAGCAATAATATATTATTCATTTTCTAAATGCAGTAAAACCTTGGATTGCAAATAACTTGTTCTGTGAGTGTTCTGCAAGATGAACAAACATTTCCAGGAAATTTGAACTCAATACACAATGCAGTGTCTTGCAATATGAGTAGCAAGTGATATCAAATGTGACACGATCACACTTAAGTTCTCTTTTTCTCTGTTATGATTTGTGTCTATATGTCCCCCCAAAGCCTCACACAGTCATGAGGGGCAGGTTTTTTCAGAGGAAGCTCAATCTAGAGCTTGTGACTGATTCATAGGGCAATGCTGGGATTAAGGGTGCTGGGATTAAGGCTGGGTGATTGCTGGATACCTCCACTGATTGGATTGGTACTGCCCTAATCCCAGCAGTCTGGATAAGAGAAAAAGAGCAGAAATAGGTTTGTTCTCGTGCTCTCTCTCTCTCTCTCTCTCTCTCTCTCTCTCTCTCTCTCTACTTTTGCTATCTCCCACCACCATCAATGGTTGCCCCTCTACCATGTGTTCCCTGTCTTGGAGCCACCCCATCATGGACTGCAACCTCTACAAACTGAGCTAAATAAACCATTCCCCCTTTAACTTTGGGTGTCA